CTCCTTTTAATTAATACCAGAGCAAACTGCAGAGTGAGGTTCTCCATGAGAATTGTTGAATGAGAGGATTGTGCTATGAGCAGTAAGGTTTCATCATTTCTAGTGTAGTGGGAGAAGAGGGTTCCAGTGCCACTCTGTGCTCTAACCTGGCTGTGGGATTAAAATCACTCAGGGGCAGGTTGTAGTAGGCCTGAATAAAATTAGATTTAGTGAGAGGGTGCTTAGTTTCCCTCTCCACCTGAAAACATCACTGACCACTGTCCAGAAAGCTTTAAAAGGGGTGTGATATTTTGTGTTGGGGGAACACCATTGGTCTTGATGGAGATACAAACAATATTGTCACGCAGCAAAAAGACTTGACAACAGAATGAAAGCAAAATAGGCTGTGGCTTGTGATAGCTTGAAGAATTGTGTCTTTTATTAGATACAGTGACGAATTCTCTAAGTTCATGGACCATCTACTTTGGAGAATGTCAGGGGTTTTTTTCTAACACAGATAGCAAGTTGCTTTGTATTTCATATCACATACGCAGATAGTAATGAAAAAAATAATCTTGGAGAAAATTCTTCAAAACTTTTTACAATTTATGGTTAGTTCTGCAAGTAAATGTGGTGAAGCCTTTCTGACTTAATTGGGCAAAGTGTAGTGGGAATGAGGAAAGTAAGGAGTAAGTGTCTGTCACTGGAAGAGCCATCAGAATTTTGTACTCATTGCTAGGTACGAAGAACATGGATGTTGCCTGATATTAACTTCATAGCACAAGTTAATAGCTTCTCTCAAAGAAAGGGGGGCAGTTCAGTGTGTGTGAGGACCTCAAGCATCTGTCAAGCTAAGGGGAAGGAGCTTATTTTTCATTTTTATTTGGGGAGGAAAGAGAAAGTAATGAGGGGTTGAAATTGGCTTTAGTTTTATCACAAATACTTGTGACTTTCAGTTTGGTTAAACAAATCCAAGAACTGCCCTAACTTTTTCATTTTTTTTCCCTTTTTCTTTCCTTTTTAACTAAGAGTTACTATTTCCCTCTGAGATTCCTGGGAAATGTGTTTGTTAGGGTTGTTTGAAAAGAAAACTTAATCCTGCATAACACTTTAACCAAGCAAGCAGGGAGAATTGAGAAAAAGTGAAGAAGAAAGACTCATGTTATTTGCAAAAAATACATTAGATTTTTATAGTGAACACTGCTGCAAAATTCACTGCTTTTATTGGAGCTAATCCTCTATTGCTGATGCATCTATAAACATACTTGCGATGACAGTAACATTGCCGTGACAATACCCTGATTTACTGTTCTGGTTCAGATCTTGGTGTCCCTGTCTTTGTTGATGGTATGTGTGTTAAATGAGTTATTTCAGTTGTTTTCTCTCTCTGTCTCTCATTGTCCTTGGCACAGATCTCAAAGCGGTACTGTCAGAACAAACTGCTTGGACTGTCTGGATAGAACAAACAGCGTACAAGCTTTCTTTGGCTTGGAGGTAGGAAAAACAGTTCCAGATACACAACTGCTCTGGATGCTTCCATAGCAATTAAGCTGTAAAAGTAGCATTACCTTCCCTGTGAAAGATGAATTGGAATAGGTGGCAGTTTGATTTATAGCATGATACTTTTCTTGTTCTAGGACAACCAGATCTTAGTAGTTACAGGAGCAGTACTTGCGTAGTAGTTGAAATTAAAGGTTAAATGATAGTCATGCAGCAGTATGAAAAAGTTTTATTCTTTTTTAGGTGTCAGTTTCTTATGTCTGTTAAGATTCAGGCTTGCCATTTTAGAAGAGGTAGTAGTCCTTCACAAAAACACTTGCATTCACAGCTACTCTATTAGATTAAGTTTTTCAGGATGCAGGATTACCGTTCTTAGCATCTGCCAGTGCTGTGTGTTCATATTTTCACAGCACTGGGCTCTGAATTATTCATGGTAACGGTATCATGGTCGAGGCTTTGGCCACACTCAAATCAAGTAGTTGGAAACTGACCATGGGATTCAGTTCTCCTACAGGGTTGTGTTTCCGCATATTGGCTCACTGTTGGAACAAAGGTTCTAGCCTGCAGGCTTATACAGTAGAACTTGAGCACATGAACCTGATAAGAATTGATGGAGTAAAATAATACTGATTGGGCTGAAAGGACAGCTTTGAAAAAACTTTTAACAGCTCCACTCATCTTAATAAACTAAGTTTGGCTCCTAAAGGTAAAATCCTTAGTGTGTTTAAAAATGAAAACTTATGGGTGCTGTAACATGAAACTGAGTAAAATGAATATTCTTTTGTTTTCTGGGTTTTATTTAATTAAAATGCTCTTGTTCTAGCATCTGTAGGAGGAATTTCTATGAGAACAGCAAAATCCATTAGCTGTAGAACAAACATTTCTGATTCTGGAATATGTAGTGCTTTGCTGCTGCATTTACAAAGTGAACACTGTTGCCAGTTCATTGGTGTTTTAGTCAAACAGAATGCTGAACTGTTTACTCTCATGCAAGTACTCTGAATTTTCTCTTAACATTCAACATCAGTACATACTGTAGCAGTTACAGTACAGTTTGAGAGATCTACTGCATTTTTCTCCATTGTTTCCACTCTGCATGCATCATAGGGGGCCATACCTTTTAATTACAAAAATTAAGGAAAATATTTCTTCTTACTTAGTTCACTGTGACGAGAGTGGCAACATGCTTTGAAAACCTCACAGCACTGGATTGTGTTATGTAGTTTGTACATCTGTCCATCTTCTGTTGATTTGCCATGGGAGAAACAAATGATTACCTGAAGTCTTTCCTGGTCCTAAATGTGTTTGCTGGAGTTTAATAGTTTACTGTAGATAGAAAGGCAAGCTTGAAATGAGGAATGAGAAACATTTGCCTCTTGTATTTTGCTGATAATACAGTAGTTTCGTATGACATAAGAACGAACATTTATACGTTTTTATTACATATGGTATTTACTAAGCAAACTTAGCTTTGCAGCTCTATTTTTTCCTTTCTCATGCTTTTAAGAACTGGATCAAGTATCATCTTTTTTTCTTTTTTTTTTTAGACCAGGTGAGAGCTGAAATTATGATTTCAGCTAATATATGAGAGCTAAAAGTCTAAAACTAATTAAGAGGAAGAAAACAGTAAATCCTCATGAGCTGCTTAATTTTAAAATTTTGTTTAAATGAGATATTTAAATTCTTGCTTTTTTAACATGATAGATACTTAATATAACAAGTACTGAGCTCTGGAGAACCACCTAAAATTACAATATCAAGCACCTAATTTCTGAAGCTTCTCGTTTATTTATACTTAATTTTATCTGCAAGTTCTCTTTTGTAACTGCTGTTAATTTCTGACCAACCTTCAGAATTTGGCCTTTGTGTCATTTTATGTTCATCATTTTAAACTCCTTCTCCTTGCAGTTGGACACCTCAAGGTTTTAAAGATTTTTAAAGCTCTTGAAAATAGCTTTTTATTTAGTTTTAATTTTTTGTATTTATTTTCAGTATTATGTTGGTAGCCACAAACACTAGAAGCTTACTTGACTTTTTTTTTAAATAATCTTGATTTCATAAACCAGGATTTCAAACAAGGTACAATGTCCCACTGTACTTCCATGAGCATAGTGCAACATTTAAGTAATGTATTTAAATGTAAAATAATCATAGAATCATACATTTTCTATGTACTGTGTGTATACAATTGAAATGCATTTTATGTAGACTGTGCATTGTGGAAAATTAATTCAGGTATATTGATTAGTAAGGATAAAGGATTGCAGTGTGTTATGCATGAAAACAGAGTGAATGACAGAAACCATTCCTGTTTCACTGATCACAGAGCTCTTGCTGCTGCAGTTGGTAATAGAGGTCAGTGTGTTAGGTATTACTTTTTTTTGGGAAGAACATGAATTGCTGTAAGTTATATAACTAGAAAGACTTGGGAACCAAAAATTTCTCACCTTATAACTACTGAATTTTTAGATTAAAATATTTACAAATCAACTACATAATTCTTTTCCTATATTACTGCCTATCTTTAAAAGAAAATGAAATTCTGGAGGCTAAAGTTACATGTACAGTATACCCTTTCAGACATGACATGCTGTCAGTTTTTTCAGAATGATACGTATAAACCAAAGATTTTTTTGTGCACATATGTTGAAAAAATTATGTATCTTTTAATAAGTACATTTAAACATTTTTCTTTTGCAAATGTTCTCTTCAACTGTTGCAGATGCTAACAAAACAACTGGAAGTGTTAGGATTAGCTGAGAAGCCTCAGTTGGTTACTCGCTTTCAGGAAGTTTTCCGATCCATGTGGTCTGTGAATGGTGATTCTGTCAGTAAAATTTATGCTGGAACTGGAGCCCTTGAAGGGAAAGCTAAGGTAAAGTACATTTAATAGAACCTTCAGCAGTGTTCATTAGTAGGTTCTTAAAAATTTTGTAATCAATATAACAATTATGAGATTTTTTTTAAATGTGGTTTTGTTGTAATCCTAAAAAAAAACCCAACCAACAAAAAAAAACTAACATGAGACGGTCGGTTATGTTGACAACCAGATCTTGTTTTGGTACATCCTTTCTCAGCCATGCCCATGCCTCCCAGGTAAGAGTGTTCTGCAGGAAAGGATGAGGCTCAAAGCTTTCATGTCTTTAGATCATAGTTCAGAAAAATATATAGTCAAATCAGCTTTAGTTTCTTTGAATCTTTTCATTTTTCTTTCTGTACCTCTGCCTCCTATTGCTTCAGTTTTGTTCACTGTGTCACTGTCTTCCCTGGACATTATTCATACTTTTTAGTGTTTATTGACAATGTTAAAATTTCTTGGTTGCAGCTGGGTGGTTTTTTTGTTTCATGTTCCTCCAGTTATTTCTTTTTAGTTTTGCAATCAGTGAAAAAAAACAACAAATTCTGTTTATACCTCACTAAATTTTGTTTCTGCCTTGCTTTCTAACATTGTGATAACAATTCCATAGTACATGACAGTGTAATGCTGTTTCTCTTCAACTTATTTTGTCTTTTTTGATGCCCAAGTTGTTCACATTTTTTAGTGCTTTTATTTTTCTTCTAACAGTGTTGCTTTTTTTGTTTTCGTAATTCTCTCTCGTATTAAGTTATACATGTGAAGACAAACAAATGTTGAACCATAGTAATTATTGCCCTTAGTTCCTTCAAGAATTTCTTTTCATACTATTCTTTTATTCAGGAATGTGCTGCTTCTCATTCTGTATTGTATACTATGTACTCGTAGTTGTCTCTTTTTTTTTTTTTTCCATCACTTGTTCGTTCAAACCATATCAGGGTCCTTCTTTGCACATCTACAAGGCATTGCAGTAAGCTACATAAAAAGAAGTAAAAATTGTTGCTTATTCTACTCTTAACTGATGCATACAAGATTTTTTCATTTGGGAATTGCTTGTGTCTTAGTATAGAGTGGAATTTGGTTAAAGATGTTTAGTTTTATTTTCTTACAAAAATGTCACCCAGACCATCAGGAAAACTACAGTAAGTATTTTATGGGGTATCTCCCCTTCTCCTGACTTTCTCATTCAACCTTACTTGTTTCTTTTCCTAAATTAATAGTTTTCTGACATTCATTTGGACACTTAAATTTTTTACTTTGTAAAATGCATTTACTGTATTTATGCTTTCATTTGAATGTCTGAAACACAGAGTACATTTACTCTGCTGTCTTTGTATAATAACACAGGATCTCTGCTCTGATACAACTGTTAATGAGTACCATATATCATAAATAAAACACAGCATCCCTGATGGAAGTCCATCTATTCAAAGAGGATTTTTAGTTCTTGCAAAACCATACAATACTTGCCATTGTTTCAATGAAACCTGACCAGGTCACTACTTAGTATCTTCTTGAGTACTCTGATAATACATACAAAAGGTAGATTTTTTTTAAGTTGTTAGTTGTATTCATATTTCTCAAATGAAAGTTTGATGATTGAAGTTCTTCCATTTCTCGCTCTTCAGTCTGATTCTTTGAAGTCCAAGAGTACTTAGAAGTAAAAATACAGAAATTTAGGATAGGAGAAAAAAAATGTATTTTAACCTTAAATGTGTTAATATGCATTTCTATACTGAAAAATGGTCCTTTTTAAAGCATTATAATACTTGTTGAGTCTAACTCCTTACCTACTCTTTTTTTTGCTTTCTCTGGGTTCCTTTCAATTAATTGCCTGATATGTGAATGGTGAGTGTGGTTTTTTTGATCATGCCATAAGTTATACGTTGTCTGACAGAAAGGGAGCAGCATCCTATTAAAATCCTATTGCAATGGTGTGCTCCTTAACACCTCATCCACATTGTCTTCCAAAAATCACGGTGCAAATTCACTACTGCTTACCCTTGACAAAACAGGAGTTTCTTTCTTGTTGTCTAGTGCTATTAATAAAACTAAATGATGGGTTCATTTTGTAGTTTTCTTAAGCTTTCCTCTTTTTCTCCTATGCATTTAAGAGACCTTCATGAACAATGCAAGCTGTAAACTTGGAGGGTTTTTTTAATACCATGCAGCATCCCTGATGGATTATGGTTTATGTTTCATATACGTGCAAAAGCATGTGTTTATATACACCTCACAGGCAAAATACACTTACGTACATAAGACACAATAAACCATGTAATCAAGAGTATGTCTTTGTGCCTGTCATTGTCAGTGCTGTGTACACAGGTTACTGCTTGACATGTTGATTACATTTGTCCTCTAGGTGTCTGACCCGCAGGGAATATATGTAGTAATAGCACATCTCTTGGAGATTCTTGTTTAGCTCAGGTAGTTGGACACTTCTTTTGGAGCACTGTTCATGCCACTTGTGTGTAGTCTGTGCCACGACAGTGTCTTCATATATATGTAGCTATAGATCAGTGTATTATCTTCCTTCTGGGATACTGCATGAGACTTGCATGATTTTTTGAAAGTTAAGAGGTCTTAATAAGTTGAAGTTATCTCTTTTTTTTTTTTTTAACATGGATATTTCAGAACGTGAGTTCTGAACTAATATGCTCATACATATATACATACATACATATATATTCATGTATCATGACATTTAGACTCAAGTGCTTGCTCATCTCTCACTATTTGGGGAAAAGCCCAAAATCCCGTATCATGGTCTAAACATGGCACTATATCAATTTCATTTTTGAAGACTAAGGGTTTAGGGGAAAAAAGTTATTCCCCTCCCTGCAGTATTTTGTTTACTTTAAATAATTCAAACTGGAATAATCTGGTTGTTAGATATGCCTTGAAGGTATGGTTTAGCATTTGGGTGGGGAAAGAAAAAGCACAACATAGTACAATAGGCTCAGAAGACTTTAACACTTTAAGAAGGAAATTGCCTTAGATTTTAAAATCATTAATGTAGTTTACAAATATGTTACTGAATGTTGCCAATGTTATTGTGAGCAGTGTCCAATATAAAATATTTTATACGTGTTCCTCCCTAACAGGCTGGAAAGCTGAAGGATGGTGCTCGTTCTGTGACCAGAACGATTCAAAATAACTTTTTTGATAGCTCCAAGCAGGAGGCCATTGATGTTTTGTTATTGGGAAATACCCTAAATAGTGATTTAGCAGATAAAGCACGGGCTCTCTTAACCACCAGCAGTTTACGCGGTATGTGTCTTTCAGGATTTTAATTTGTCTGATAACTATTTGGTGTAAGAAAGCTGTACGGAGTCTGTTTTCAAAGCAATATTGGAAAGTGTAAAATGCTATTTTATGTTCTCTTGGCTTATTAAAAGATGAAAGTTACTTCTGCTTTACTAATATTACCAAACTAACATGCTGCAGTAATTTCTTTGCTGTAATTTCTTTATATTTTGTTGATGTCTGGTGGAATGTATTTGTCAGAACTTTACTGTAAATGCATGATAGACATGTTCTGCTCAGTTCTTCAAATTCATTGATAGCAAGTGTTAATCGTGACAATTATGTGCTGAATTTGGGAAAGAAAAACCTGCTTTATTAAAATATTAGGGGTTTTTTATTGTTTGCTGAATGTCTTCCTTAATTTGATCGGTCGTGTCAGTGAAGAAATTCTCACCATGGTATTAAACTAGATAGAAAGCATTTATTTTTTTCTCAAGCTTATCTTCATTTTGGTTTCTAAGATACTGAGGAACAAAAAGGGGGTTTTGGAATGAAAGACAGCTTAAGATAATAGTAGCTATCAGAAAATTCCTGATGTATGAATTTCTATCACAAAATAGGGTTTTTTTTTGTGAGAAGAAGTCTTTCCCAGGAACAGGTGCACCATAAAAGCTTTGTCAGTCTGTGTGTGAATTTCCACATCAAAATCAGAAAGATTTCAATAAGAAGGTCTGCTTAGGCGGACTGGCCATGTGGCACTTGGGGCTCTGGTTTCAGGAAGGTGGTTCACATCATCAGAACAGGTAGCTGAACCACACCATCCTGCATCCACAGTCCTCAATGCTACAGTCATGTCCCATCCTTCTGCAGGTCTAACAGGCAGGGAAGTACTAAGAGGGCCAGGTGTAGGGCTGTGTTTAGAATACACTCCTGGGATAGTAAAAAATAGAGGAGCTAGTTCTTGGGAAAAGAAGGAAATTCAATTTGAGTCTTCTTTTCGAGATCCCAAGTATGAGTGTCCTAAGTGGTGGGTTATTGCCAATTTTAGGGATTAAAAATAACATTCTTGTTTTTTTCCTTTTTTTTTCCCCCTTTATTCTGAACACTTCTCAACCTAGAATGAGAAAAATGTGTCAAAGCTTCAGTGTAAATCTGTGGCACAAGAAAGAAAATACTTGCCCAATTTTAGTCTTCAGCTTGTGGGTATTTTTCTATTTTCTATGTGAAACCTGAAAGATTCCTTTCCTTTCATTCGTTTACCACAAGGTTTTGTGTTATTGTAACTTTTCCTGTATCTGAAATGTGCTAAATTAGCCTTACCTCAAAATTAGTTGAAAGTCATTTTCATTTCTCCTCACTTTCTTCTCACTTTCTCTGTGAATGCAAGCTATCTTTTCATTATTTGCAGCTTCTGTCAGCTGAGGAACATTAAACCCTCTTCACTGAACATAATGTCTTTGCATTGTCTGCTGGGTGGTGAATTAACTAGAGAAATACTTCATCATATGTAAATCAATTTTTAATAAAGCAAGACAATTTGTTAATACTGTTGTGGAACTTTATAGATTTTGCAGCATAAAAGATGTACTTTAACTGATGCAAATGGTTATGTGTAATAAATTGTATATTACAACATGTTCTCTCACATGTTACTGGAAAAATTTAAAAAAAAACAATTACTTGACTAATCTTTTTTTTGTTTCCTTCTTACTGCATCCGTAGTTTCAGAGCAATCATTACAATCAGGTATAGTAAATTAAGCTGTAAATATGTGAGCAGCTATTGTTCTTCTTGTGCCTATTTACATGATACTTGGTTGTGGGCTCAGTTTTCCTAGTAGTGTTTGGATCTGGCATTCATTCCTGTGCCCCAAAATCCTTTAATCTAAGAAAAACCCTTTAATACAAAGAAAGTGAAAATATAAGAATATAAGGGGTGAAAAATACTAGAAGAAGAGCCAACCAATTCTTTGGGGTTTATTTTTGAAAATGATTTATTCTAGCTGTAGAGGAATTTTTTTTATCTGGTTTGGGAGCCTCTATACTTTTGTTTTGTCTACATGTTTTGTTTAGGGTAAGAGCTAAAAATTCTTTAGCTCTTTAGTGCAATTTGTTACATCTTATTTGCCATTAAAAGGCTCTACATGCTTGTGTTCTTTCATGAGCCAGACTCATTTTGTAATATCTCCCAGCCAAAATTAACGTTGTACTGGAATGATTGGAAATAATATACTGACACTTGTGTTCTGTGGGCAAAAGTACAGTCAAAGCCATTGAGATAAGTTACCTCTGCATATGACACAAAATGGAAGTTTAAGAACATCTATTCAGGTAAAACTCTCAGCGAAGAGGCGGCCTGAAGTGGCAACTTTATAGTTAACTCCCGATTTTCTACTTTGAGACATTGCAGTAGTATCTTGACCAATGTCTGTGATGTTGCTCTTAAAATATGAGAGGTTGGCTTTGGAGGATTCAGCAATACTGTGAACATGAAGAAGTGATATATGATAATAATGTAGGGGTGAGCCAGATAGAGGAAAATTACATGAAAGATCTCTTCAATTTAAGAAGCTTTTGAAAGCTCTTAGTTATTATCATTGTAAGTTAGCAACATAATGCATTCAGACTTCATTTTCAAAATTTTTAAATTCTTAGTGGAAATTCTGCTTTTTGTTGTAACTTAAGCTCTTTACATGAAGCTGCTCTGTTTGGGGAGAGAAAATATATGCATATGCCATATTTTTAAGGGAGAGCTGCAAGTACTTGTCAGCTGTGCAATACTTCATTGTCTCCTTGTTCCTAGAAAATATTATTTAAAATATGATATTCCTAATGCTCGTATGTTCAGAGTTTACTTTGTGTTGGGAAAATTTAAACATCCATTTCTGAGCTATTGCCTTAATAGGGTTCATTGTGCTACCTCTTGGAAGTAGGTTCAGTGAAACCAGATCAGATGCTTAATTTCTGGGTGACAGGGAATAAAAATGTGTTCTTAATACCTGGGAAAGCAAAGGGAGAGAAGGAGGGAAATAAACAAGAAAGCTCTTAATAATTGTTCAGACAAGTCTCCCATTTTAAAAGGATAGCGAAATTGTGCACAGTATCCCCTGAACCTGTGTGCTCGAGTAGTAGCTGCTAGCCCTGGGTACTGAAGAGGAGAGGATCCTTGGAAGAAATCATAAGGATTTGTTATTGGCTAGGTTGTTGTTCAGATACATCTCAAGTGTTTGAAGCTTCTCGCCCTCATACCCCCCCATCCCCTTAGAAAAGCACATTAAACAAAATCTGTATTTTTGAGCTTAAAATATTTCTTTCCTTTTACAGTTTTGCTTTTTCTATTAGTGTTTTACTTTATCTACTTAACTCTTACCGAGTACTTAAATAATGAAATCTGAATCACAGGTAATACACACCTTAAATTAACTGATTCACTGGCATTTTGTCAGTTTTAAACACTGTTTATTGGAATTAACAGTCACATTGTCATTTATGGTGTTACTATCTAGACTGTATCAGCCTAGCTTATAACTCACAGTCATACATGTCAACTATTTTTTTACTTCCTGATGTAACATTTCACTGTGGGTTTCATCTGGATACAAATTGCATGTCTTGAAATATGTCTACAGTAATTTGGATGTTGTAGTAAAATAGTTCAGTTGAGTTCTGTTGCACAGAATATCCCACCAAGAATTTAAAACCAATATCCCCTTTGTAGAACTGATTTCCAAATGCCTGCCTTCCTAGTATGAATGGCAGTTAAAGTATTTTTTCTGCAAAATAACAGAAAATATAATGGATTGGATTTTAAACATTGTAGAGTGAGATACAACTCTGTTGAAAAGATAAATAGCTTGAAATGTGTAGGAAAATAATGTACGTGGGAGGCTCTGGAGCTCTGAAAAGCAACGGGCTCACTCAGTATTTTGGAAAATACAAAAATTTGGGGTTTTTTTTTCATACTCTGATTTAGAAAAAGCCATTCTACAATTTAGAAAGCTTGCTAGTTTAAAGGTATGAATTTCATACTTGTAATATTCATGTTGTCAGTTCACTTATAAAGTCAGATTCTATCTTGGAAAGACTTTTCATATTAGGAGTTCATGATAATGTCATGAATATGCAATTATTCTATTTTGGAGCTTTTCTTAAAAGCTGCTTGGTAGCAAATATGAATTATTTGGAGTAGCTGTTTAAAATTAAGGTGAAAATTGCTAAATTTGCAAATTTGCAAAAGAAGGATTTGGAGAGAATAAAAGTCCAGACTCTGCTTTTCACTTGCTAAGGCTAATCTGTGCAGATCTTCACAGTGTCTGTGATGCTATTTTGGGTTCCTCGGGTTCAGGTAATCCTTTGGATTATTTAGGTGCTTGTGCATATTGTGGGTACATTTCTTGGACTGGTTTCTCTTCAGTGGTCAGCTTCGGTCCTTGATCCTCAGAGGCTTTTCTGGCATTTGGTGGACTTCTTGAGTGTCATCTACTGGGTAGATACATTCAGAAGTAGACTCAGTATTTGGCTCTCACCTGGAGTGTAAACTATTCTGTTAGATCCTTGCTGTTTTCTTGACTTACCTGGGTTTTACTTGGGTTACAATAAGAAAAGCATGATCCCAAGCATGATCTGCTTCTAGTACCCCAAGGAGACACCAGTCAGTTTATTGTATTTTACATGTGATTAGCCCATACATGGATATATGGTTTGTTCATCAGTGAAGGAGTTCACAAACAACAAATATATTATTTTCTTTTATTGTTTTCCATTTGTTTCAAAACCATGAGAGCTGGAGAATCCCTGATTTTTATTTTAATTGTGTAGCCAAGATTTGGTAGCAAATTTAGAGGTGGTAAGCTTAAAAGGATAACTAAAAAGACAACAGCTCACTAATCATCCTGTTGTGGTGATTTGAATGGAAATATTGTGCCCAGTAGCTGATCATTTTGCAAGACAGTGCACAGTGAATGGAAGAATTCCATCTAATATAATTTATATGATCCTCACAGTCTCATAACCATGAGAGTATTGAAAATAGGTAAATTAATATCACTTAAGTAAACTACAATGCAAACAACACTGTTTACACCAATGCAATTTTTATCCCACTGATATTAAAGAAAAAAGGAGCATAATTTAAAGAGAAAATAATCAGGCCTGTTTGTTTGCATTAGGAAATATAGCTGTATGACTATATTATGCAGCTGATTCATGAAGGGACTTTTAAACTCTGTAACTCTAGTGTCTGACCATTCAATAATCTTGTTTGTTTATTTCTTTCTCACAATGCCCTTTACAGATGGGTCATTACACTCTCTCCCATCTGGCAGATAGAAACAAGGCACAGAGAAAGGCTGGTGTGACAGGGAAATGAGTTTAATTGTTTTGAATCCTAGCCTACTTTCCTCACTAAAGCAGAATTCTAGGAATTCAACTAACCTAAAAAATAATTCAAATTTGTGGCTTATATGATAAAATAATGTACCTTACCTATTTTAGTAAATGTATTGTATCAGTAATTTTTACATTTCTAGAAGTTAGCATATCTGCCAGTTGGTTTTGTAATGGAGATTGAATTTCATGAATGTAATCTGTGAAAATGAGATAGATATCTGTGTTGGCATGTATGAAAAATAGTAGTTTCTGTAGAGAATCACACATAGGGTGAAAAAATGACAAATATTTATAAAACATAGAAATCATGTTTCTTTTATGTATCATTTATATATGTGTTTCTTTGTACAAATTACTTCTGACTTTCATTCAGCCAGTATCCTACCCAGACAAGTAGTACCTTCCCTTGTGAAAAGTTGCATTCATCTTGCTTTCACAGTTTAACTTTCTATATGTCTGTGCATGGATTTGTTGTCATTTTTTAAAGGGAAATCTCTCATTGCCAAGTTTTCTGGAGAAACATTCTATATGAAAATAATGTCTTTTCAAATGTTTTTGCAGCATCTGTAAAAGTGCTAAAGAGTATGTGTGAAAACTTTTATAAGTATGCAAAACCGAAAAGAATTAGAGTCTGTGTCGGGACGTGGAATGTCAACGGGGGAAAGCAGTTTCGAAGTATTGCCTTTAGAAATCAGACCCTTACTGACTGGCTTCTAGATGCACCAAAGTTAGCTGGAATTCATGAATTCCAAGGTAAGATTTGTATTCTGGTAATTTTTTCATGAAAACTCTGATTTTCGTAATTAGATCATGAACATTAAAATAGATACATGACGTCTTGGTTCTTAATTATAAATGACAATTAGATTTTTTTAATATTTAAATGCAGATCGCAAAAGCAAGCCTGTAGACATATTTGCCATTGGATTTGAAGAAATGGTGGAGTTAAATGCAGGAAACATTGTGAATGCCAGGTTGGTATACAATCTGTACAGTACTGTTTAGTTGATAATCACATTTTTTGAGTAAAATGTTATTTAATTTTTTCTCCTGTTTTGTAACGGTCGGGGTTAGTCTGGATTTATTTTTGACTGTATTCCAGTTCTCTCTGCCACTTTCTGTGCCAGGATTGCAGGCTTCGTCTCGGCTTTCTTAGCAAAGCTGTGATCACTTAGATCATGTCTAATGTAATCTAAAGGACCCAAGTAGTCAGTAGTTGGCCATGTTTTGGATTGCACTTTTAGCAGTTCCTTGACTTTTTCCTTCATTTGACACTTTGAAGGAATTTACCTCTGATGCTTGTAGCATTCTGCATTATCTGTGCCTTCCTATTGCCGCAAACAGCAAGTCCTGTGAAATTCCTTCCAAAAGCATGTATTGTTGGTATGCCTTTATATAGTGTCTCGCATCAAATTTTGATCTGTTTAAAGCAAGGTTTCTGTCCATAGTGTCAGGTTTTGCTGTCATTCCGTGAATTACATGTATATCAATGAGTTTGGATTTCTCACCCCTAGTAGAGGGGTTATGAAAACATATTTTTACCAGTGGTGAAGTCTGTATGTGTAGTCCTATTCACCTTGTCTGTTGTTTTGTCTGCCCGTTTTGCATGTTTTCTGGTGTTTATCTAGCTTTAACACATTGGAAAAAGCATCTAAAGCCTGTAACACTGTCAACCTTTGCACAGGCTTTTGTCTTGAGGACAAAGTGGCAGTTTGTCATCCCCTAATTTCACACTGTGTCTAGTTAACACTGTCTCCAGGTCTGATATTTTTCATTTGTTTTCAACACTAGCTCTGAAAACCATAGTCTATTAGGTGTCCAAGGAGGTTTCTTCTTGATCGAAGACATGGACATCTCAGTTTTCCAATATTAACTGAGCTCTAGGCTAGGCAGTAACTCCCTAGAAAAATTCTTAGGTTTTGCTTCTCTAGTCTAGCCTCAGAAATAGAGGAAAGATAGGCCTGGCTCTTAGCATTGTCTGTGGTGTTGAGAAAGTGAGGCAGCATTTTATGAGTCTGAATTTGAAATGATGATGTCATGACAGCTTGTGTCTCTGCTAGGAGACATTTGAGCACCATTCACAACTTGGCTTTGCCTTGGTACCTCAGGGTTTAGTTAAGGTGATTGTATGAAGGTTATTCAATTAGATCAACAGTTTAGATACCTGCTTAATTAGATTTATTTTAAAACTGGCATTTTTCATCTCACTGCTAGCACAACCAATCAGAAGCTCTGGGCTGCTGAGCTGCAGAAGACTATATCAAGAGATTACAAGTATGTGCTGCTGGCTTCTGAGCAGTTGGTGGGCGTCTGCCTTTTTGTGTTCATCAGGCCCCAGCATGCGCCTTTTATCAGGTCAGTGAACACACAGCTGTGCCCAAGTTGGGTCACCTTCAGTTTGCTTTGTATTGCAGACTAACCTACAAGTGTACTAAGAAGCGTATGAGGCTCTACTCCAGCTGTTCCATCTTCTGGGGAACTAGTTGCTTAAATTCTTTTATTGTAGTTTTTAAATGCCTCATCAATTGCCAAAAGAGCTTGACAAGCTGAAGACTTATACTGTTACCTCCTCAATAGCTGTTGGCATTTTGTTAAAATAGCCCAGTGGCCTTGCTGCTGAAAGAACAGTGTGAAAATGTTCTTTTACCAACGTAATGTCATACTCAAACATACTTAAAGCTGTTAACTTCTGTGCCTATCTTTCAGGGATGTTGCTGTTGATACTGTAAAGACTGGCATGGGAGGAGCCACTGGTAATAAAGGTGCAGTAGCAATTCGGATGTTGTTTCATACATCCAGTCTTTGCTTTGTCTGCAGTCATTTTGCTGCAGGGCAATCACAAGTTAAAGAGAGAAATGAAGACTTCGTAGAAATAGCTCGCAAGCTCAGTTTTCCAATGGTAAGCAACAGTGTTCAAATTCAATAATGAATAAGTTGAACCCTTTGAGCTCCAGCAATGTCATCCAAAAGCTCTATTTATTTTTTTTACCAGATTCCTGTGGAAATCAAATTTCCTTGGGTTAGAGGCCTCAGAGATAGTTAAGTTCCGACAAGATTTATTGAAATAGATGACTGCAGAAAGAATATACCTTTCCAGTGTAATGACTGATAGAGATAATGAAGCATAAATTCATTGCCTAGCATTAGACGTCAAGGATTTAGCATAGGAAAAAGACCTGATAGATTCTACGTGCAGCAGAACTTTTGTAGGTACTAGAGTTAATTAACTATGGCCAAAAAAATCCATGGAAAACAGCACTATTTTCAGTACACTTATTTTCTTGTTCACCCGTTTTTGTCAAGTTGGATTGTGCAGTTCTGTACCGTATTCTCATAAGGGATTATCAAACACCAAGTAAAAGTAAATTCTTGATACTTTTATCAGTGCAACAAAATTCTTTCTTGAGACTTAAAGCTGTCTTAAATTTTGTGGTTAAACCGTCCTTTGTCACTTTTTATGGCACTGTGCAGGATTCTCACACATTATATTACAGGGTTTTTTTAATTTCTAAATTTGTCCCCATGGTCATGTTTCAGTTTTTCTTGAAAGTACTGTATTATTGTGGTCCGCAGAAACAGTTTCCTAAATGCTGCTATTTTAATCTGCCATTTATCTGCTTTGATTTACTTAAGAGCAGTGCAAAAATCAAAACAGAGAAGTAAAAGTTCTCACTTCAAGCCTTAGGCTTTGTTTGAATGAACAGAGGCCTTCTGTCTTTCC